AGTAATGGATGGGGGGAAATTTTAATCAGCTTATCTGGCTTATAAGGCTGAACTCTGAGTACGTGCGTGGTAACCAGCACTAAGGGAGCGCAAAATGGCGTCCAAGCCTGCTCGGATGCATGCTCGTTAAAACAAAACTTAAAACACCCTAAGCATCCGTAGGCTAGCTATAGGTTTATTTAGCTAATTTAATTTAATCTATTTATTTTAGCCCTAGTTATATTTTCGTGCCAGGAAGGTGCACTACATACTTATCGCTTCCATAATGCTAATTGTAATAAACGTAATAAAACTAGACTCATAAGTACAGAAGTTCAAATACACTGACTACTGAAAAATTAATGTCAACTAAACTAAAAGCACTCTTTTAGAAGCTCAGAATGGCCAGTTGCATTTGGGGAAAGCTTTCAATACTGAGTCAGGCAAGTCCCATTCATTTACTATTGACACCGGAAATATACAATCCACAATAATTGAGAAGGATATGTTATTACTTTGAGATGGGATACAGTCAGAACCTATCACGAGTTCGATTACAAGCATAACTAACCATAAGTCACCTATTGTCGGTACAATTGACATTTATCTGAAAACATAATTGTGCATTTGGAAAGATTCCTTTACTTTTAAGTGAATGTGGTCCATCTTTACTGCAACTGAAGGCTCTTAGATTATTGGATATCCAGATATCTCTGTGCCCTAACTCATTTAGTGAGTCCTTGATGAAGGAAGCGATCTTACACAGTTCATGGTGTGTATGCTGCATGAACATTCGGCCTATCACTCTGGAAATAAAGAGATCTTTATTTGAAGTATCTGCTGATTCTATGTGAGGCGCAGCTGAGAGTCAGACAAGTTGGTTGAAAAGAGCACACTTACACTAGCTGAGTCTTCGAATCAATTTACTCCTATTTTGACAAATGGAAAGACACCAAAAACCTGTGATGATTGTCGTCCAACACTTAGTAATCGACCACAAGAGCAAAGCTGCACTACAGAGAAAACTGAGAATATCTCCTACAATCTGAACGTATTCTAGATTCGGTGAGCCTTACGCTGAACTTCGGGAACTCGTTGAGTACCTTCAAACCAATGAGATGCTCAAGAGAACTGTAAGAATAATGTTACGGGAAACCTTAAATGTTTGATATCGTGTACAACTTACGTGGTTTCAAATTCTTGTCCAAAATGGACCTAACAGATGAATATTTACAAATTCCTGTTGATCAAGCCTCTAGTGAACTGATCACCAATGATACTTCTTTCGGGATGTTTGAATATAAATTTTCACCTTTTGAATCAACATTTTCAACTGCAGTTCTTAAAAAGGTTATCAATCAGATGAAAGCTGGGTTAGGTACAGCTGAATCTTATTAAAATCATATTATTGCCTGCAATCCCAAAACTGAATTGTACAATGAACGCCTTTTAAAAAAAATGTTTCTGTGATCTATCTATGAACACAATTTGGCTTCTATACTGTACTTATGATAAACCGTCGATTTTATCGCTTTAAAACCTGATGAGACGTCTAGCTCTATTGATTCAGGCAGCTTTACTGACAAATCCTTCATTTTTGAGATCATAGATTGAAGCTTCGCAGTTCTATTCCATGTTCATTTTTTATATCACACAATTGTTGTCTCCACTTTCCCATAATTTTTATGGAAATTTGTGTGGGAATAAAGTTATGAAAACACTTGACGAAACACTGAAGTTTCTGAATAATCAAGCTCTCCTGGGACCTTTCTCGTAAAAGTATGCCTTTCAGTGACCATAGTCTCACTATTACAACAAAATGAAAAACCTGTTATTTGTATTTCAAGATGTTTGACTAAGAGTAAACACGGATATCACCAAACACAGGAAGAAGCACTGGTGATTGTCTGTTCATAAGTGCCATCTAGATGAGTATCCGTTCAATACAAAGTTTCGTATTGTTACCGATTAATAAACTTTGAAACTTATTTACTATCTAAACAAGTCTTTGAATAGGTCGTCAGCTGCTTTGGTTCACAGATAGAATTTAGAACTGAAAACTCATGCGTATAATGCTCGAGACAAACAATCTAAAGATATATTTCACGCAGATTTCCCGTGTTATTCATCATTTGAGAGTCCTACTGATATTGATTATTTATTAGTTCAGCCGTTACCTTTCGACAGAATATGACTCGTTCAAGATACACGGTGCGATAGTTCAATTCTTTATAATCCCATTATCACTAACTACAGCATAACCATCCAGTACGATCATGTTTATTATTTGTGCAGTTTCGTTATAGGAGAAAAACCATAATAAGGTTAGAACACAGTAGGACAAATTTCAGATTAACAATAACCAGGTGAATTCACTTCCAGTTAATTTTGACAAACATAGTTCTTTTTGCTGCATTCAGCTATCTTCTCTTGGCAGAAAAGTGCTTTGGCTAAAACTTAATTTCCCTACCCTTCGAAAAATATCCTTCAAGATCACCCAAACTGATTACTACTAACATCTTCAGGGAATTATAGTTTCGTCAGTTTGAAGGCCACCCTAGCAGTGACTGACAACCAATTAGATTTCTTTATTCAGGCTAGAAACGTGGCTTTGCATAAAATAAAAACAATTGGTTACTTTAGCGGTTGTTAGGGTGGGTCACTTTCAACATTCGCTAAAACCACTTAATTCAACCGGGATTGTATTGGACTGGTCAGTTGATATTGCTCTGTTCAAAATGGTATCCTGAGTCAACCTTCTGACCAACTCTTGCTCCTCTTATGGTCGTAATCTTTAGCGTTTCTAAACCTACCCCTTTCCCCTCCTTCTAACTCTTCACCCACATTATGAACTACTTCTTGTTTTTATACCCACACTGATTACAATCCGTCCACTGTCATGTTACCCTTTGATTACTTTTCAATATTCATAAACACTTTGATTACTTTAGGATGGAAATCATATTTCCTTTTTTTATGTACGCCACCTTGTTGCCATGCTTAACAAACCGTTTTCACACAAGAAACAAATTATACATTCTCACCAAGAAGTACATAAATGTGACTGCACAGCTAAGTGGATGAATTGTCCGGAAAGAGTCACCTAGCTGAACCACTTATTTTCTTAGAACCCATCTACTTGACGCCAATGTGCAACAAATATCGCCTTAAAGTTTAATTGACACGACCAAGCCCACTACTTAAAAATATATTTCGTATGAAGATTTACACAATGAGTAATAAGCTAATCAAAGAGACATTCAATTGATCTGTTTCTCTGAAACCAATTTTATGCTCTTCGAAACATTACACTTAGTCACGTCGGAACCAATATCTAGAAAAGTAACGTGATGAATAGACAGGGACAGATGATTTAAGCGATGGGACAATTATCCAGTATGTAGTTTGGAACCCCAGAATGCTTACAAATAGTGTCCTGCTAATTGCTGGAAAGATTCCTCGAGTCTCTTCGTTGTGACATCATTTTCACAACTCACTACAGATTCTGAATATATCAAGTCATAGTTACTCTTGCTAAGATATAGCCTAATTTCAAAAAAAACTTTACATGTATGCACTACCGTATCGTCAAATGATGAAGGATATAACATCCCCTTCACTGAAAAGTTTTCTGTTACGACAGGAAATATTAGTTGATTTGGTGGCGAATGTCAATAAGCATCGGAACTAATTATAGTGTTTCTTCTTCAATCCCTGGAAGGGTCATGGGTGCGCACTGCTGAGGAGTCCCATACTACGATGACACGGTTGTCCAGTGCTCCCATATCTCCAACTGATGTCAGTTTATGATGAATACCAACCTGAAATCAGTAAAATCCCCACAAACCCTAAAATCGAATCTACTGTAAGATCCAAATCATCTAATAAAATTTTCTGTGCACTATGAAGTCAAATAATATAGTCTAGTGATCATATACTACTCATTATTAAGTAGGTTTTACCAGCGCAAACGCTTACAGTGCGGTAGTGGATGCTACTGTGCAACCGACTTTTATGCAACCCAAACAACTTACGACCTTCATTAAGTAGCAGGTACGTGCTTAATACGAAACATCCAAGACTTCTGGATGCTTTCCAATCAAAAATCCTGTTCTGATAACGAAAACTTGATATCCTATTGATTGTAATTTCTTATCATTGAATGGACCGAATTGCTTGGCCTCTATTGACATATGGGCTGTTGCGTGGATGCATCATATTGCCAGTAATTTTTAAGTGGTAACAACACCACTCACGAGAAGGCAGGTACACCTCCTCTGAGCAGTCCCGAGTGTTACAAAACGTGCGTCCTGGATTCCACAACTACCCACTATCCGTAATTACTATCTAAATAAAAAGTCCTTTTAGTTTTGCAAACATAGTGACAAACTACACTTTACACCATCACACAGATAAGTACCTATGACCTCCGCTAGATTTGAAAGTAGAATCAGCTAATTAATCGTTTAAAAACTGAATCTTTTACTGACTAATAGTATTCTTGAAGCGCCGATGTAGTGTAAGTTATCTCATGTTGCGAAGTTTACTCATTACTGCGTACCTCACTAACTCAACCAACAGTAACTCTATAGTTTTTTTGACAAGTATTCCCTGGTTAGTGGACAAGGCGGATAAAATTTCAGCCAGTAATGTCTGTAAATTTCGAGGAAAACGATGGGTATTCTATTTTCAGTTGCAATGAAAATGTCTATATATACTGATCACCTCAGAAAAAAAGTTTATATGTAACAATTTCGTGTGCGACCAACTAACAGATTTGCACAATCCCTTGTATAAGCTTGAAATGAAGACATTCATATGATAGTTATTTACCCCACAGCATCAAAATCAAATTATTAAATATGATGGGTAAGAGTGTGAGAAATACATTCATCCTTCATACATTGTATAGACTACTAAATCTAAATCAGCATCCAATGAATTTCCTTGAAATGGAAAATATACAACGGAGTACACCTACGAAATGTAGTAAACTAGATAAATTGTATTTCATATTATTTTTATTGTTCGCAAACTGGTTTTGGGGGCAAAGATAAGCCAACCATGTTAGCAGCTTCTTCAGTTGTCTTCTCCTTGGTTTTATACAGTTCTACGAGTTCCTGGAAAGTAATGAAGAAAAACAAAAAGAAAGTATAAACATATTTGAAACAATTAGTCCCTTTTATGAATTTGGATAATGTAATTAGAAGACGTAGATTATCTGAACAACATGTGATGTATTGGCGCTATACATTTCGAACAATCTGATCACACATTTACTTGTTAAAGCAATTTATATATGAAAACTGGAAGTGGGGGAAGGACATATATGATATATATATATGACATATATATAATAAGAAAGATAATGAGAGGAATAAAAGATAAGACTTGAAGACAATCTTGGTAATACGATAAAATAAGCATTACCAAGGTAGGCTTAATGTAAGGACAAACTGTTTTTTTTGAGGCGCTAGCCATAAATAAATTTAACCCCCATTGTGTGTGCAAAAACAGTTTGTCCTTACATTAAGCCTACCTTGGTAATGCTTATTTTATCGTATTACCAAGATTGTCTTCAAGTCTTATCTTTTATTCCTCTCATTATCTTTCTTATTATTGAATTCCTTTATGTCATATATGTCCTTCCCCCACTTCCAGTTTTCATATATAAATTGCTTTAACAAGTAAATGTGTGATCAGATTGTTCGAAATGTATAGCGCCAATACATCACATTTTTCAGATAATCTACGTCTTATAAACATATTATATAGAATAAGAGCATACATACAAGTATGTTTGAGCTGGAGTCCAAATACAATCATCCCAATGTATTTGAATAATTTAACAACACGCTGCTTACCTAGACATGGTTTCAGTACTTTTTACCGATAAAAAAGGACTGCTCATTTTCATAGGCGCTTTTCTTGATCAACTGTAAATAATTTTCAACTAAGTAGTTGCGTTACTCATTAGTAGGTAAATTAGTTAGCCTATAATATCTACGTTAATTTTTTTTATCCAATCAGGCGATTAACTAGACTGTGTTGACGGCTTTTAGACATCGACTCCCTACTGTGAAAGGCTCATTTCATGAAGTGTTAACAACTACAAAGTCAATTAAAACCTAAGACAGGTGGGATAAATCAAATCATTTCGGCAATTGGTCTTTCAGAATCAAACCCACAACCTTTATATATCACAGCTGGTAGATATAAATGGGCTGAAGATAAAAATATGCATGAGGATGCTATAGTTCATGCAAAAACGATTTGCAACAAAATAGACAACGAAAAATGAGGGAGGGAAAAGTCTTAAAATAAGCAAAAAATACTTGAGAAAGAAAACAAACATGTATAAAATAATAAAAAGTTCAGAGTTTTGAAGATAAGGGGTGAATACATCTTAGCCACTACCTTCAACTTTCAACTACTGATAGTTACGAATTTCACTAATCAAACCCAGAATAACATTAAAAGAGAAACCACATAGATAAACTAAAAAGTATGTAAACATCTGTAGGTCTGATAATGGTAGATGTAATTCATCTGTAACACTGAAAACTGCATACCTCCAGACAACTCAGATTGTGGTTCTTTCACTTCGTCTAATCAAGACTACCTTGTTTAGACATTCTGATTTGCAACTGTCCACAACTTGATAAGATTAGTGATATCTACCAATGGGCTTCCAGATGTTCTACTCCATTTCCAGCTCGTCACTTGAATGCATCCGTCCTAATTTATGATTTGGTTTCTAAAGCGGCAGATGATGGGTGTGAGTTTCAGCACAAAAACTTGTAAAGCAGACTATGGCTTTAAGTCGTGGCATACTTCCAAGTATACGCAATAAAATCTTAGTGGCAACAGTTTCTTATTTAAGCATCATGAGCCATTGCTGTTTCATTAAAGATAAAAAATATCGAGAAACCGATAGTTCCTAATAATTACCCACGTTTAAATTATTGGCCAAAGAAAACTTGAAGAACGATAAACAAGTTCATGAGCCAGAACTCAACAGTGACAATTTTTCAGCAAAAAATAATAAAACATTAGATTGAACATTTCTATATCATCTCAATATCTCAGTGTCTAGTAAGTGATGGTCAAGAATCATTATAATAAGGATGTTCTAGGTCAATTGAACCTTAGCTGTGAGGTTAATATGCTAAGGGTTTCTGGAGATAGCATTTTAACCGGTGGCAGGTCCTACGGTTATCTTAGACGTAATAAATAGTACAAGAATCGATCATCGTTAATAGAGTCAATGCCAGTTACCAATCACACACGTACGAATATATCCTATAATAACCTAAGAGTTAAAGTCATCTCATATACTTCCAATGGTAGCAAACTCTAAGATTCATATTAAATCCTAATCAACGATATAAATGTGACACACAAATAGACAAAACCAATGCAAAACTACGCACACAGGTGTATCAGTTCAAGTTGCCGCACTTCACAGTAGTATACAAACAACAAGTGGATAGAAAAAGACTATGCTATCAGAGCAGGCAAAAGTGTATGAGAGGAGAGGGAAATCGAAAATTAAGGTTAATCAAAACACTTAAGCTTTAAAAGACATCAGAGAGTGAATACACTTCCGCCCCTGTGATTGATTTTCAGCCATACCACCAAGAGACCTGAATCACAGATTCCTATCGTTTCGGGAACCCCAGCCAAGCGGTGTACATTTCCCAGCACGGCTCATTCCAACAGTCAGAGACCTGATAGAACAGTGTAACGTCTACTTCTGGCCACACTGAACCCTCTTTCAATCCAATCCGGCTTCCTCTAGCATGGCACGTCAAGGTAGGCTATGGCAGTAAATGTCCAAGCCATCTCGGAGTTGATGAAGGTTCATAACCTCATCAATCTACTTGCTTGTCTTGCCTAGTACCCTTCACCTGACCTCAAAATCGCTCACTTGGTGCTTCGACCATACACGGACGATCTTAAGAAGACACTAGTGATCGGAAACCTGCAACCGCTTCACATCTTCCACTTTTAAAGGCCATATCTTACAGCCGTATAACAAGACAATAACAGACTACAGCACAGTAGTCTGATATTTCGCCAGTTGGCCCCACCGATTACGTAAATCGACAAGTTCCAAATGGGCATTCTGTATCCAACCTGAGATTTCGACAGCAACCAGCAGATTCGGCGGGCTGATGCAACTCTCCAAGTGAAGTGAAGTGGTCGACACATCCCACCGATTCACTGCCTATCAGTAAGCCAGGAGAACTAGCAGAAGACCAGTCCTAGAGCACTATCCTACATTTGACAGGTCAGATACTGCCACAACACATTATGGTCAACTGAGTCAAATCCCGCCTTCAGGACAAGAAGTATGGTAAGTTTCGGCCGTCGATAGGTACGTCTGAGTTCCAGAGCCGGTCAGAGCGTAAAAATCTGATCGGTGCACCCTAGATCAGTTCTGAAACCTCCCTGGCTTTCTCGAGCTCCAGTTAGGAGTCGGATAACTATGGATCTGTTTGCTAACCTTCAAGTGTGGGTTATCAACTGTTTTTACCGCCACTCTCACAGTAGACTTGATATCACATCGGATTTTCTCAAGATCAGCATTTCCGCCACGTTCAGTTAAATGCTTTTCTAACTCCTCTCTTAATACGTACTTCACGTTCTCATCTTTCAATCGAGCACAGACAGGTTTTACTGCAGTCCGCTTCCTGCGACCAGTAAGGTGCAGACATACACGTGCCTGTACTCATGCGTGATCGGAGTCCAAACCAGTACTTCAGAAAGAGCGAGACTCCTCCACCGACCCTTTCCAACTATAGCTTATAGCAATATGATAGTTCTGCGCCCATCGTTGGCTTGATGTCGAAGAACGCCAGTGTGCCTGCTTATGCCTGAAGTTAGTGCTGGCCAGAAACAGACAAAAAAAACCCAATGTACAATTTCATACATAAGTGCATCGGTACTAGAACCTGTCAAACACTGAAAATCTGGTCGACAAACCTTCATCCACTTCCAAAATCTGCTTGGTTCCTTCGAGTTTCTTGTCTTTGAGCTCCATTTAGACGTCGGATAATTATGGACCTTAGGATCGGTTCGTTGGCACGAAGTATAAATGGTGCCTCCAAGATACCTTCCCATTTGGCTCGGCTTTCCTACTTGAGAGTTAAAGTCACCCACCACTATGACTACATATGAAAAGTTTGCTTTCCGTAGCAAAACTGATAGCTTTTCATAAAATCCATACTTTGCACCATCTAAACTGGGTGCGTTGGCGGAGACTACAAATGGGCGTCGTCTAGTTTCACGATCTTCTTTAGTTCTTACGGATACATTCGGTCGAACAGCCTATAGACGGCTGCATACTGGTATTCAGTCAAGAAATGCACTTCTTACCCTACAGCTGAATGCTGTACCTACACTAGCGAGTCCATTGGGTCTCTGGATGCTCGTAAGGTGAATTTAGAAGAATCATTACAATAGTCAGGTGAGGTCAATTTAAAACCACACTCGTCTCCTTTATACGCGTCTCAGACAGCATATATCCATGGCTCGAGATTCCATATTTTTGGTGAATGATGCCTGTTGTTCGACAAGGCATAGCTTTCGGATATTGAAAGCTCCAATCGACAGCGAAGTTTTAGGAGACTAGGAATGAGGTTTCAATGGCTCGGGTCGTAGGGAATGACTGCAGAGTCGGAAGTTGGTGAAGTTGTAAGAGGCTCAATATTCATATCGAAAGGTGAAAGGCAAAGGGTGAGACAAAGTTGAAGGGGGTATGTTATATTTGACTGCATTTGGTATACTACTAGAGGTGTACAGACGATTGATAACTCCCAGCTACCTACACTATGGAAGTTGTTTCTGCAAGGTATCTGAAAGAGAAAAAACTTGAGACACCTGCTTGACGCCTGTCACACAGCCTCTTGAGGATTGTTGATATGAGATTTGATTATTCTAACATCAGACAGAGAAAACCAATACCGCCGGCACCGAAAGACTGCGGTGCAGGAAGGAGTATGGTATTTCTAGAATTGACTTTTTTAACCACCTCCTTCCCACCGGGAAAGTAGTATCAGCATGGTACTGCTGATAATCCAAAGGAAACACCTTACTGCTGTCACCCTAGCCAGTCAGTATTATGACTTCGACCTCGAACCTTCATTATAGGGCAGCAATTTACACTACAACGGTAACGTCTGTTTTTTCTTAGCACTATCCAACCAACCTTACCGACATGGTAGGACTACGAGGGAACAAGCGTTCCAGACAGTGTAGCTCGTTGGGTCATTGCGATATAAAAGCCCAGCTACCACGTCAAGGTAGCAGCTATTGGTCGGGATCATATATATATATATATATATATATATATATATATATATATATATATATATATATATATATATATATATATATATATATATATATATATATGATCCCGACCAATAGCTGCTACTATGACATGGTAGTCAAGCTTGTGGGCACACATTTTCTATAAAATGCTGAAGCGTTTACGTGTAAAGACAGATGTAGGGGTGAATCCTCAAATAATCTTTCTGTCAATGTCGCAAAATGATTTAGCGGTTGATGCACTTTACTGTGTAAAAATCAACTTCCCCTATTGCGCTTTATAAAGAGGAGGTGATTTAAAGCATGGTGCACGTACGTAAGTTGTCACCATTAAAATAAAATTAGAAATAAATATGCGACTTAGCAACCATATGCAGCTTTTGGCAACCTATATTGTGCTGGGGCTGATGATACTACTTGGGAGTAAAAACTTCAGTAAGTGGAGTGAGGTTTGAACCTGATAACCAAAAGTCGACTACACTAACCAATGAACCACAGCTTTATAATTGGTTACTTGATAACAGGTGAATATACTTCTGGTAAACAAATGAAACAAAATACCATATGATATAATAAGAAGAAGAAGAAACAGATAACTTACCGAATGTTTTCGTCTATTCTGCAAATAATTTAGATACGTCTCAGCCAAATGTACACTTTCATTTTCTTTAGCACATTTTTGAGCGTCTGTTAGACGATTGTATCTGAATTCTGAAACGACGAACTGAATCACCAGTGGATAGGAGAAAGGCTACAAAAAGTAAAGGGCTCATTTTTAGAATAAAGATTAAAAAACAAAATGCGGTGAGTAGTAACTTACCACATTCCGATCTTTTGTAGCCTGACGAAGTTCACGGAGGATATTTTTAAATAGCTGAATCCTAGGCATTGCGGCGTCAATCACACGAAAACAAAATAATCTGCAGGCATTAGAAACAAAATACACGTTAACAGTGATAAAATACAACCAAAATATGTGCAGAGTAATAAACAGGGAAGTCTAGGACGGTAGTTTCAATAACTACAGTCCATCAATCAGTATCAAAATGGGGATTGAAAAAAGTGTAAAACCTAGGCACTGTCACAGAATGAAATTTCACATGAAGTTCATTTATTTGATACAGCATTACTTATTTGATGACGTTGGAGTTGACAGTACTCCATAACAGTTCAACTCATCATAATTCACAAGATAAGATGCAGTTTTATAGATATCTTGAGTGGCAATTCAAGAATGTTTGGGATACGCCTCTCACCACTCAAGCGAAGTTTCTTGCTCTAGGACTGGTCTTCAGCAGTTCCTCGGCCAACCATAAGGAGTGAAGTAGTTGGACATGTTGATCACTTCGCCTACCTGGAAAACTGGGTCAGTCCTGATGGGTCAGTGACTGACGAAATCACTGCAAATACAAAGTTCGATTCGGTTACGCCAACTTACGTCATTTCCGGTGCCACGGTGATATGTGATTGACCATTACGAGTCCACTGCACTGCGTTGCAGTTCATTTTGTACTACCATACAGTCGCAAAATGGCCATTAAAAGTAGAGGATATGAGAAGGCTCTTGGTGTCCAACTATCGCTGCTTTCGTAGTGGAGGCCGTGTGTTGTGGTCTCACCACGTAACGTAGAAGTCAGATGTAGAGCCTAGGTAGGAGAGGAAAGTTATTTCATGACATTATGGACCCTCGTCGGCTGAGGTGTTAGGCATGCTTAGTCACCGCAAAATGTTGGCCGAAGTAGGTTTGGACAGGAAAAAGGTTAGAGATGAACGGAGTGAAATCGGTCTCTCAGATCTTTGACTACTGATCTGGGCCGTGTAGAAGAATGTAGACTTCCCGATTAGGGTGTACGTGATAGCAGAAGCCAACGTTTGGAGACCATGTGACAGTTTAGAATCGATATCACTGGGACAGCTATATCCACACATTATCATCTCAATCGTCATAGGGAATTCAGTATTTTCTTATTCCTCCTTTCATTCTTTGACAACTTTTGGCCGATTCTTCTTTATTTTCTTATATTTCAAGTTGGTGCTTTCCCACTTGATGTGGTGATATGAGGTGTGGCGAAGTGGACCGTTATGTGGTAATGCCTGAACCCACGATGATGACTTTATAACAAAGTGTAAGACACAGATGAAGGACAGTGAAATATGAAAAGATACCATCAAAAGTCCTAGAAAGTCATTCAAAAAGATGGGGTTAACTAAACAAGAGCACATGATAACTAGAATGAAATAATGTGTGGAAACATTTTTACTACTAAAATGGATTTTGAGCTACATCACCTATAGTCTGCTTCCACTGATTTTGGTTGTCTGGCGGACTCCAACCAGAAAGCCAAAATTACCCGACACTACTCAGCCCAACAGTCAAGGACACCGGAACTGATGCGACTTTAGAATTTGGCGAGCTCCAGGATTTTTCCACCCTGAAAAAAACTCAGATAACATTGTGAGAAAGAAACACCATGAATGAGCGTGATAGCCTCTTCTTGTTTGACGCAGAGGGGGCAGATGACATATTGCCATTAGGTGAAATTTGTGACAAGAGGCAGAATCTTCTGGACAACTTGAGTGGCAATTTCATATTATATTGTTTATTTAGTTATAGGACACAGTGACAGTATAATCTGATGGATGATGTTCCGAGCAGAATTTACTGCTCATATTCATATCAAAGTAATCATGCGACCTCCAGACTTCCTTTATGCAGTCCAACTGTTCTCCATTCTCTTATCTTAAAGGTAGGAGGATTTCCCAGATATCTACAATACATGATGAATCGTTGGTTACATGTCTTAGGTGTTGGTTCAATGAACAAAGATTATGTGACCAATCTCTCCCTCCATCTGGCTATATTGGATTTTAGTGTTGTCACCCTATAGTGTGGTTATGGGTCAGTGCATCCAGGGCGACAGCCGAATTTTTCTCCAAATTGCTGATCTTATTAGTGTCTACCATTGTATGTTTCGTCAGGTTTTTGTGTACAGGTACATTGGAAATTTTGCGCAGAACTCTTAAAAATAGTGGTATCAAAGTGGGATTTAAACTCATAAGATCCCTCAGAGAGAAACTTTGCAAGCTAAATGATCCAGTAGACCCAACTAAGAAAAATAACCTAATTTATCAAATACAGTGTGATGATTGTGAGGTCAAGCATATAAGTAAGAGTAGCTGATGTGGGTCGGTCAGAATAGCAGAACAAAAACATTTGGCGAAACATACAATGGTAGACACTAATAAGATCAGCAATTTGGAGAAAAATTCGGCTGTCGCCCTGGATGCACTGACCCATAACCACACTATAGGGTGACAACACTAAAATCCAATATAGCCAGATGGAGGGAGAGATTGGTCACATAATCTTTGTTCATTGAACCAACACCTAAGACATGTAACCAACGATTCATCATATATTGCAGATATCTGGGAAATCCTCCTACCTTTAAGATAAGAGAATGGAGAACAGTTGGACTGCATAAAGGAAGTCTGGAGGTCGCATGATTACTTTGATATGAATATGAGCAGTAAATTCTGCTCGGAACATCATCCATCAGATTATACTGTCACTGTGTCCTATAACTAAATAAACAATATAATATGAAATTGCCACTCAAGTTGTCCAGAAGATTCTGCCTCTTGTCACAAATTTCACCTAATGGCAATATGTCATCTGCCCCTCTGAGTTAGCTGAGAAATCTATTGTTATCAATGTTTTCAATATTATCAGGTGAAGAAAGTACTGCCTCAAAAAGGATGTCCAAGTTAAGTTGAGACATATGAAGTGAGTGGATATCTTTGACGGAGAAATTTAACTTAGACAAGCTATCTGATTCGCATACGCTAGCTGGTAACTCACAATCTGACTATTAGTTATTATTAAGATTTCTTACAACCCTTGAGTACTAGTCCATTGCGTCCCACTTCCGTTCCTTATTTCAGGTTACTTAGAATCTTCACAGTTGCAAGCATCAGAAGGCCTGTTTTTTTAAGAATCCGACTGGGTGTCTGCAAGTGGAATAGTAGTTGAGAACCAGCTGCCTTTTCCATTTCTTTAGCCTTCGCTATCAACTATTCTTCACAGATAGAGCAGACTCTGTCAGAATATATTCGCGTTGCTTCCACTCCTCATTTTGCTTGGAGCCCATACGACTGCGTTTACATGCACCTATTAATTAATAAGCTGCTGAGACCTAATGACCTTTTTCACCTCTTCCTGAGTCAGTTATCGTCTACAGCATACCGAAGATGGTGCCAGGTTCTTTCTGGATGATAATGTCCTGCTCCAGTAACTTTCTAGGTAGTCCTTCATCTAAAGAAATCACGGTATTTACATTATCGGGCAGCGCTACGAATAGCTTTGTGGCTACTGTTTTTTTACTTTCATCTAAGTACAGACACGTGTGCAGCAGTGGGTGGCTATTGTCTAAACACCTGCTCCTGAAGAAGCGGCAATCTTCCATCGACCTTCTCCAGCAATAGTCGGTAACAATATGGTCTATCTGTGTTCTCCGTGTTATTACTAGGAGATTAGCCACAACATTCATTAGTTAGCATATTGAAAGTCTAGTTTACCTGTGATGCAAAACAACCCCAAATCAGTATAACCGCTTTCCTCCTCAAAAGCAATGAGTGACTTGATTCAGGTAACGCCACTGCCAGTTACCTGAAGTAGCTGTATAACGACGGTTGTGCAAATGGATGTGATGCGAATTCCACCGACTAAAAATATAAGTCGAGTGATGTATCGCATAGTTTATATTCCAACCTTCAAAAGCAGGGATTTTTCATCTGATACATACTAAGACTGAAAATCTAAATATAAGACTTTCGAAGATTTCTGTCATTCTGGTTAGTCACATTTGCATTGTCCCAGCAAACTAAATACATGTCTACTATGTTTTTTGTCCAAACAAGGTTGAAAAACAATACCGGGATGGAAGTATGCCATAGTAACATCTATCCACAAGGCAGGTTCTGGGCAGTACCCATCAAATTACAGATCGATAAGTTTGACTAGTACTGTAGTAAAAATCAGAAAGAGTAATCAAGAAAGCCTTCACTATCCACCCAGAGAGAAACACTGTATTGCCTCATTCACAGCATGGTTTTCGAAGAAATTTCTCTTGCTTGACGAACCTCCTTACAGTCACAGAAAGTTGGGTTAGGTCAAAGGATGATAGGAAGCCTGTAGATATCATTTTCATTGACTTTAGTAAGGCATTCGGTAAGGTACCTCATTCCAGGTCGCACGGGGAACTGGAAAGTTTTGGAATCCCTCGCAGTCTGCTCGCATAGATAAGAGAGTTCCTTGTTGGTAGGAGACAAAGAGTAAGCATCAATTCTCAACTCTCCTCTTCGAAGTCGGTAGAGAGTGGAGTGCAGCAAGGTATAATCCTGGGTCCTCTGTTGTTTCTCCTATACGTAAATGAGCTGCCAAATACCTCTACGCTGATGACGTAAAAATCTGGCGGGAAATTAGGAATGATGAGGATTTACGTGCACCTCAGGCAGACCTAAACAGCTTGTTTACTTGGTTAGAGAAATGGTTGATGCCTATCAATGCAGGTAAATGTATGAGCATACACTTGAGACACACACACAGCAACACGTACGATATTTGTGGGACTCCCCTACCGTCAGTACTGACCCACAATGACCTAGGAGTCACGGTGAGTTATGACTTGAAAACCATGGAACACTGTCGATTGGTAGCAGCTCGAAGTTCTAGGATACTTTGGGCATTACGTAGAATGTATATGAAAATAAGTGGTGGCAAGTTCACCATCTTATACATATCCTCAGTTAGGTCTAGATTAGAAAACTGTACACAGGCGGCAAATCCTTGCCTGGAAGGTGACGCAGACCTTCTAGAAAGAGTTCAGAGGGCAGCCACTCGCATGATCCCTGCAATGGCTGGTTTCACCTATGAAGATCAACTCAAGGAGCTGAACCTTTTCACTTTATTTTATTACAGACAGAGGGGAGACCTAATCATGATATACAGGATCCTGAGAAATGACTTCGGACCTGATTTATCTTCTCTTTTTCTTCCCAGTAGGTCGGAACACCTCAGAGGACGTAGGAGGAGGCTACAAAAACAAAGAACGAACATAGTCTCCACAGAGTACTGGTTCTTGAGTCTAGTAATCAACGCCTGGAACCGACTATCAGAAGAAGCGATGTCAACATCATCAACTGACTCGTTCAAAAGCGGATTGGACAAGCACAGAAATCTACTGGAAAAGGATTAATATAGGCTCACAGCCTCCTATCCTCAAACAGAAAATCTGAATTTGTAAACAAACACTATCTATTACTAGTATCATAAAAGCACATTTACTTTTTGAATACATGATTGTCCTAACCATTATAACCAGGAATAGCATGCGAATTAACACGCGTGTTAATTAGCTGCAGCTTATCTTTACTCACAGCTTTCAAGCCTGAAGGATTTACCTATTCCAAGATTAAATAGTCACAGGTATTAGCTAGAAAATTACATACAATATAACATGTCAGATCGTTAAATACATTGGCCTCTCGAGGACCGCATAAAAAGAAGAGATGCTGTCGCCGAACTTAAGGCTCGACAAACTAATGGAGAAAACGATCTTAAAATAGTGGGTTTTCGGGTTTTGAGGTCTTGGAAGTGAATCCTTCCAAGGCCTGTATGGGTGGGTCATGGAACTATTCCAACACAGTGAGCGTAATCTACACTAATGTTTGCAGTATTAGAAGTAAAATGACAGACATCGAGACTAATCTGCGAACTAGGTCCTGACGTAGTAGCCCTTGCTGAAACCTGGCTAGTAAGGGATTTAGATTTTACGCCACTCCGCACAGGGTATTACTGTGTAAAGTACTGTGTGAAGTTAAGGCAAGGTTTCTGTACTATCGGGGTCATTTACCGTAGTTCATCCTGCCCTGTAAATGACTTCGTGCTAACCCATATACACGACTGGAGTAGAAGCAACAGATGCCTAATAGTTGGGGATCTGAATGCTCCACATTTAAACTGGACGGAGCTAAGAGTCTCAGCATCGGGCAGTTCCTTCGAAAATGACTTACTCTTGGCGGTATTAGAATCTAGTTTAGTTTAAAACGTAACATGTGCAGCACGTTACGATTTTGAACACAAGCCATCGTTATTAGATTTAGTTTTAACCCACCAATGTGAAGAGATTTGGGATCTACGACACTTCCCTTCATTAGTTAACAGCGACCATGTAGTGCTAACAACTGGTTTTCAGAGTAATGAGTTTGGTTATGACACTGCTTCCCCTAGACCTAATGTATGGCACGCGGACATTTCAAGCATAAGGAATTGCGCAGTCAGTAAGGATTGGACCGTCGACAAGGATTCATCCATTGAGAACGCATGGAACAGGTTTAGGACTCTATTTGAAGAGGCAACGACGCCATTTATCCCATTTTTGACTCCACGACGATCTTCACATAGCCATCCGTGGTTTAATAAACACATTAGGAAACTACTAAGGCGGATGGAACGTTTACTGGACTTGTTTCTAGAAACTGGACTGGAAACACTTAAGACTGGATACTGTAAAGTCCGTAATCTCTGCAAAACTTTGATCACACAATCTCGAATGTCCTACGAGAAACAGCATGTGATGGATTGCCAGGAACGTCCTAAAAGACTCTTCGCATTCATCAGAAGGAGGACAAAGAGGAAATGTGGGATTCTCTCTCTGATGACTCGTGAAAAGTCCGATAGTCTGGCGGAATCAAATCTGCCCAAAGCTGAATGTCTGTCGGATTACTTTGGTGAAGTCTACTCTGTAGATCATGACAACAGTGCTCAACGGTGGTGTCAGCACTGCGCCACTAATAGATACAGTGTTCACAACAAAAGAAAGAGTCTTACAGTTGCTGAACCTCAAACCTGGAAATTCCCTGGGTCTCAATCAGTTACGTCCCAGGCTTCTATCTTCGTTAGCAGACATCATTACTGAGCCAGTCACGGATCTTTTCAATATTTCCCTAACTCAGACTCGCCTCCCTAGAGACTGGAAAGATGCCATAATCAGCCCAGTTTTTAAGGCCGGTGTTCGCCATGTGGTGTTTAACTATCGGCCTGTGAGTCTAACCAGCATAGTTATTACGATTTTAGGAAAAATAATTCGTGATAAGGTACTTAAACATGTTGAATCAATCAATCTTTTGGCACCACAGCAACACGGTTTTCGTACTGGACACTCCTGTCTTACTAACCTCCTTATCGCAAGACGAACGGGCTGCAGCCCGTGATTGCAAGCTGCCAAAAGATGCGGTGCTTATAGACTTCAGTGAGGCGTTCGACAAAGTGTCGCATGTGAAATTACTAAGAAAGCTCTCCTCTTCCGGGTTTCACACTTTATTGCAAGCCTGGATTAGGGAGTTTCTGTACGATAGAAGGCAAAGAGTAAGGGTAAATGCCATACTACCCAGGTGAAAACTTGTGATGAATGGATTTCCTCAAGGAACAATTTTAGGTCCACTACTTTTCTTGTTATATATCGACGAATTACCAGAAATTCTCAACTCTTCGGTACTGCTATTCGCCGTTGATGTAAAGATTTGGAGAGCCATATGCAGTGATGCAGATAGGTATGCACTTCAAGCGGATTTAGATGAACTAGTAGGTTGGTCCAAACGTTGGTGCCTGGAAATCAGCTCTAACAAAAGTGCAATAATGCACATAGGTCATAGTAATTGTTCCCAGTATTCCGATGATGGTACACCACCACTCCGTCTTTGAACTAAAAGACTTGGGTGTCATCATTAGTCACAATTTGGAAACCTCGACAATCTGTAATGCAGCTGCAGCAAAGGGCTTCCGCGTATCACGGTCCTTCCGTAGAGCTTTCGGAAGTTTTGATGAGGACATATTCAAAATACTCTACTTACGTTAGACCTCACTTGGAATACTGCATTCAGGTGGCCAGCCCATGCCTAAAAAAGGATGCTGACGCACTCGAGCGTGTTCAAAGGGTAGGTACTAAGCTTGTGACAGACCGTTCAAATCTGTCCTTTGAGGAATAACTAAACCAGCTAAACTTATTCCAAACGTAGGAAACGGGACCTCATGCTGGCATTTCGTATTCGTATGAATAATTTCGGTCCTGATATGTCCTATCTCTTCTCTCCTGCTAGGACTGACTATCTTCGAGGGCGTCACAAGAAAATTCAAAAACCGCGATCAAATCAACTTAGCGTTAATCGCGTTTCTCCCATCAACGCCTGGAACTCATTACCTTAGCAAGTAGTATCAGCACCTTCCGTCAACGCGTTCAAGAAGAAACTAGATTTTCATGAAGATATCTTCCGCAAGGATTAACACAGGTCAACTATCCTTATAAGTGAAAACATATTTTCATTATCAACAGTAGCTTTCATAGACAATGCCATACGCAAAATTCACAGAACATGGACCTTCAGGCTCCAAAATCAAACACTTTTATAAAACGATAATTTGCATATAACTATTCACCTAAAGCTTTAGATCATATGACTCAGTTCCCCGAAAAACCGCCAACTGTCAACAATCAGTGAAGTAACGTACAGTAACGTACCAAGCGCGAAAGTACAACATCTATTACAATTTCAAACTGTTTCGAGGTGTTGCTAGCAAAGCTTAATACACATTTGCCTCCAGAATCAGTGACCTACTGGTTCTTGAGCCTAAGAACCTAGGTTTAAAGTCAGAGAATAAATAACTAGAGAGATCAGGCTGTTAGTGCATCATCTGAAAGCTCACTCTGTAACCCTAAGTTCAAATGATCCAAATGTTAGTTGATTGAATAGAAGACACTTTCCTTTAACTGGCTCCCGCATCTAAAATCCATGGACCACTACTTCTTGTGGTCGTTAACCTACGTAAAAATAAAGAGAAAGAGAAAATTGGTAGTGAAGCGCCTTTTGAAATGAAGTGTAATCTTACCGTGTAAAGCGCATTCGAAATCTTACCCATTCACCTCAGGTTTCGCCCCACCTCTTCATTGTCCAGCTCCACGTTTGTGAGTTATTTTTTCATTATTGAATGTAAGTACATCCTGCAGAGTCACACAATTCCCCAAAATCAATAGCGTACGGTTCGACAACGTTCAACATTGATGCTGACCTTGATAGTTTAACTGGACTCGCTAAGCTGAAGGCACCCGGTCAAGCATCCTCGCCATTTGGCACGCTGTCGTGTTACGTTGCATTGCTCGTATTCGACTCTCTAGCCAGTTAGTTGGAACGCATCGGTATTTTGGCATAACCATCCAAATATACTATTCCATCCGACTACGCTATCGTGTTCTTCCTTGGTCTCGTATTCGTGGGTATATAACAAGTTCGAATAATTAGTGATTGGTCTTTGCGTCTGTCAAGTTCGCACCAGGACAAATCCTAAATTGGTGAGCCCGACGTGATCAAATATCCCGACGTGATCCATATCCCGACCAATAACAAGTATTGAATTGGTGAGCCTGTTCCATTTTATATTTGTTTATTGTTTTCATTTCGATAACATTTATATATCCATTTACTACACTTTCTCATGTCCGACCACACTCCCAAGCTTATTCGTATTAAGCCGACTACGAACACGATCCAACTCGTGCCATATTGGCCAGACAATGCAGAAACATGGTTTCTGTATGCCGAGGCAGATTTTCGAGAACAGGGTGTCTCAGATCCTCATTCTCGATTTCTTGCTGTCATCCGGTCACTACCGCGAGAATTAAACAGGTATGTTACAGCAAACATGTTTAATCCTGAAGTAAGTGACCCTTATGCACTTCTAAAGGCCGCACTCTTGAAGAAAAGCGATCTCACAGATCGCCAACGTCTAGACGAATTGCTTCGTAACATCGAGCTAGGCAGCCACTCAGCTACTGAAGTCCTCGCACGCATGCGAGAAGTAATCGGTGCACGAACATTTGACGATGGTTTCTTCCGAGAACTATTTCTCTCGAAACTACCACAACCGGTGCAAACCGTGTTGGTGACACTGCAGTCAGTCCCACTCGACGACCTGGCAGCCTCAGCAGATAAAATACTGGAGATATCCAGCAGACCCGTCTCCAACGTATATTCTATCTGCGACAAACCAGAGCGCCAGGATTCAGAGGTGACCAAGTTGTGCAACTCTGTGAAACGGTTGCTACGATCTCGAAGTCCTAGATCACGTAGCACTTCACAGAAACGCACCTTGGCGCATCGCAGCAAGTCGCGTGGTAGCCCTAAAACGAAACCCAACAGGGTGGAAAACCCTGAATGGTGCTGGTTTCATAACACTTACGGGGATGAAGCCAGAAAATGTCGTAAACCATGCCGTTTTAAGAAGGACACAAACTCGGGAAACGGTCACGCCGGCACGTGCTCACGGCAACCGTAGCCGGCGGAAAAAGCCGTTTGCTCTACGTCACCGACGTTAAAACGAAAGTCCGCTACCTCGTCGACACCGGCGCAGAAGTTAGCGTTCTTCCAGCAACGACAAAGGAGCGTCATCTCGACCCATCCTTCAATCTTCAAGCAGCCAACGGCAAGGCAATCGCGACATTCGGGAGACGGTATGCCTACCTCAACTTAGGTTTACGCAAACCTATCCACTGGATTTCCTCCTGCTGACGTCTCTATGCCCATCATTGGCATAGATTTGCTAAACCATTACGATCTACTCGTAGATGCTCGCCGTCGACGACTGATAGATAACAACACAAAGTTATCTATTGGCGGCACCACCTATGTAGGTCCGAGTTTAGCCATCGTTAGGACTAAACAATCAGGCGACGCGTCCTACCAGGCAGTTCTGGAGAAATATCCAGAGTTACAGCAACCGAAGCACACTCTTCCGTGCATAACCAGCAATGTTATGCATCACGTCACAACCACAGGTCCACCTGTGGCATCCAAAGCGCGCCGTTTAGCCCCCGATAAGCTCCAAACGGCGAAAAGCGAATTCGACCACATGCTCGAACTGGGCATTATCAGACCGTCAACAGTCCTTGGGCATCGCCATTGCACATGGTTCCCAAAAAGGATAGCAACGACTGGCGTCCAACCGGTGATTACCGAAGGCTTAACGCCAAAACAACTCCGGACCATTACCCGATACCTCAATACAAACCCTCGTACACTTTGCCTTTTTATATCAATTTTATTATCATGTAACGAAACTTTTTAAAAAAACGGTGAAGATAAGCGTAAATTTTTATTTTTCGATATGTTTATGTATAAATAATTCCCATTTTTACGAGACGTTTTCGTGGTATTAAAGACTTTTATTTATATTCCAGGTGCAACGAGCACTGAACGGAACGTCGAAAGCAACTGAGGACCGCGATCGACGAACAATTTCATTCATTGCATTTTATTTATTTAATTGCCACGACACCCTAGAATAAGTTCAGACAACCAGGGGCCACCTCACGCAGTGAGCCCATCGGAAGAGTTTTACCAGTGGAGAAACCACTGGGTTTTTATTTCCGGCTGGTATCGTCTTAGGGTCATCACTAACCCACTAGGTGAAAATTGATCTGTAGCGTCACATACTTCCCCAAAATCAATAGCGTAGGGTTCGACAACGTTCGACATTGATGCTGACCTTGATAGTTTAACTGGACTCACTAAGCTGAAGGCACCCGGTCAAGCATCCTCGCCATTTGGCACGCTGTCGTGTTACGTTGCACTGCTCGTATTCGACTCTCTAGCCAGTTAGTTGGAACGCATCGATATTTTGGCACAACCATCCAAATATACTATTCCATCCGACTACCCTATCGTGTTCTTCCTTGGTCACGTATTCGTGGGTATATAACAAGTCCGAATAATTAGTGATTGGTCTTTGCGTCTGTCAAGTTCGTCACAGGACGAATCCTAAGAACTGATTCTTTTTCATTAACATAAAGTGAATCACTATGAAGTTACTTCAAATTTCCGCTGGTTTTGCAATATCATTTGCAGCCTGTCTCAATGCTTCTTTCTCGTCTAATGAATTTGATTTTCTGTGTGTGGTGATACGCCAGTTTTGTGTGAAACGTTGTTATTGATCTGAACATCTTATCGTGTCATTCCCATACTATTTTTTACGGTATGACTAATAGTTTATTTTCTGCCTTCATTGTAATGTGAATCGCTAATTGGTTAATCTTTACCGCTTTCTGTAATCGAGTTTATTGCATCAAATTTCTTATTTCTATTTTGTTTTAACCTTCTAATTATGTCAACCGAGCGTATTGTATATTCTCGCGCGTTTTTAAAATCATCACAACCTATCGTTCCGCAAGTTGGTAATAAATTCGAAAAGAAGCACCACGGTGGATAGCAACAAGCTCTGGAGCCTATGACCACAGATCAAATGGCTTTTCTGGAAATACTTAGCACAAACTGAAGGTCGTTGCCGAATAAAGTTGATTAATTTCACTCACACTTGCCCACAAATGTTTATCGAAACAAGGGTGTAATAATGCTGCAGGAAACATAGCTCCATAGTCCGTATGATGATTACTTAGTCTGATTAGATAGTTTCAAATTATTTCGACAAGACCGAAGCTTTTTCGAAGAAGAAATGTAGTGGTGGTGTAGCAACATTTATTAGTACTAACTGGCCGTCCTCCAACTATGTATGCTTCTGCTTCTCTATCAAAAAATTGAGTGCATTACCACCAAATGTTGTCCCAAACATTTGAGCAAATACAAATACATATATATCACAAACATATATGTCACATCTGACTGCAGTTCCTCAGATTTGTCAACTTTTGCTGATGAATTCACTGAATTCGCTGCTCCGGTTCTGGAAAACTCCTTGTCTGTTGTCTGTGATGATTTTAACTTATGTGGCTACAGTTTTCTATTATTATTGGGTCATAAAAATATGGTTAACTTCTCCACTCGTCTTGACAACGCCTTAGACTTTGCATTTACTAATGAACCTGGCATATACGAAGCCTATAAACGGGCTTCACTGCTAATTCCGACCACCGTATCGTCCATGTTTTGCCTAAAGTGTACGGAAAATTATGCAAGAAAGCTTTTGCATACCTTTCAAGGAAAGTTCAATACAGATGCTATTCACAAGAAAATATATTACGTTTGAGAAGCATGCTCATAGAAACGGACTGGGATATGCTTACCGATCAAGTTTTAGACAACACTATTACCAATATCACAAGCCATCTCAGATTCTGTCTCAATATCTGCTGCCTTACTGAAACAATTTACATGAGATTTGATAGACTTTCATCTCCTCATCTCAAGAGGCTTCGGAGAGAAAAGGAGAGGTTGTATAAGGCGAGAGATCACCCTGGCGTTAAAAGGTTTGACTGCCTAGTTAAGTCTGAAATACAACGTCTGAATACTATATACAACGAGAAGTTCTTATCGTGTAAGAACTCTCCCAATAAATATGGAAATTATTTAAAGAGCTTACTGGTAAAAAACAGATGACAACACAAACTCGTTCGGATGTCTGCGCGTTAAACAAGTCACTTATGCGTCGGCAATCTACTTACATCATTCGTAATGTGCAAAATCAAGTGGATAGCTGCTTTCCAAGTTTCAATACAAAGATGTATTTAAATGTTTAAAGTCTTTGAATCCCTC